ATGGAGAATCGACTGTGTCCGCGGGAATTCCACTACGCCACCTTTAGCGACCCCCGGTGCTCTGATTTCCCTTCCCCCGACCATACCTACTACTTCATCCACCCGAGATTCGTCGTCATCACCACCAGTTTCCCTCCTTTTCGCCTTCTTCTCCCGTATCATCAACTCAGCGTCGTTCCGTGGCCGACCATAGCCCCCTATTGGCCCAGCACGCCCTGCGGAAATTGCCGACGCAGCAGCGAACGGAGGACCCCCGAATTCCGAAGGCCTAACCCAAACACGCAGCGGGCTGTGCCACGTGGCGGCCCCCAACGGCCCAATTTTTCGGGACCACCTCCGCCGCGGAGGAACTTCCCCGTAAACCGTCACCCACAGTACCCCGGCCCCATCGGGCCTTGAGTCCCTGGCGCCCGCGCCTCTGGTTCGCCCAATTGCATTCATATCCCTAAGACTCCCCCACTTTCCCAAAAGTCCTTGGCACACCCCTTTTCGCACTTCCAGGCCCACATCCCACTCCGATCAGGAAGTCGCGCCAGGCGTGAGGTTGGCCGTCACAACCCCGCTCGTTCCTTGGACACCTCGAGCCTGTTCGGCGCCGAGTCTTCGCGCAGCATTGCAGCCGAGATCAAAGAGGTGGAGAGGAAGGGGCTGCACACATTTATAGTGTGGAAGGTGACGGGGCACCAGCGTGTAATGCGGGTAGCCAGGGGCATAGAATGAGGAGGAGGGAAGGAAAAAGGTTTCAGGGAGTCGAAGAAGGGGGGATGATCGAAATTTTCATTCACTTGGTGGTCGTTCAAGCTGCACGTGTAAGTTTGCCCTTGGGGCTTGATCCAACCAACCCAACCGACGACCAATCAACCGCGCCAAAGAACAAAGAGGGTATCGGATGAAGGGTCTGGAAGAAGATGAAGAGGTGCGTCGAGACAAAGGATGGCAAGAAAGGAAGTTGCCGTGCACACGCCAAATTCAAAAACGGCCCCGCGCGCAAATGCTGATTCAAAGAAAATTAGAAACACCATCAACTGAAACTCATAACTGTTTCTCGAAATTTCCTCGCGGTCGCTAATCGGCCGCACGAGACTACTTTGAACAAGGACAAGGGCAAATCCGAAAAGATGAATGCAGATGGTCCTAAGAAATTATAAACGGACCCCATTTCTATAGCCAACCAAGATTTGTACTTTGGGGCTTAGTTCGAGGTTTAATCCAAAGGGTACGCGAAGCCACGAGATACGGAACAATTACTTGGCTTATCACATCTATGATACGCAGGGGGTTCAGTCTCCTGATTGCCTCCCACATGTCAATGTTGATGTGATGGTCAAGGCGGCCACTTCAGTCGTCAGCTGGCCTTGATCATCAAAATAACCTACAAAAAGTGTGCCCATGCACTTTAAATTTACTCCTCCCTTATGCCATTATATAGTCGATGGGGCGGCCACTTCATTGTCAGCTGGCCCGGTTGATCATCATTATTTTACAGTGCGACCCGTCGCACAATCTTTTGCCACCATCTTTCAAATTTTTTAAATAAAAATTTCAAGACGCTGAGGGGAAGACGGGAAAGAAGCAGAGAGACAAAAGTATAAGGCCCAGAGCTATGTATCACCCGTGGCTGCGGCCGCGGGGTCCAATAGCCGCGGCGGCCACGTTGGTGGCCGCCGCCGTGGATAGTGGCCCCAATTCCCCGGCCATGATTTTCACGGATTTTTCCTGGGAGAAATAAAACGTAAAAGAAAAATTTTAAAAATGGCATTGTAGGGTTTTTCGAACCCTACAACTCCATATTTGTTTTTTTCCAAATCGACTATTTTTTGGTGTTAAAAAAAATAAAAATCGGAAACTGCAAAAAAAATAAATAAATAAAATGAAAATAAGATTTTTTCTTTTCTCTTTTTTCTGGTTGTGTGTGTGTGTGTAAGTTCGTGTGGGGAGGAGGGGGGTGAGGAGGGCAACTCCCCTCCCACCAATCAATCAATCAATCAATCAATCAATCAATGAATCAATCAATCAATCAATCAATCGAAAAAAAAAATAGAAAAACAAAGTGAAAACAAAGTGAAAAAAGAAGGTGCACAACAGTGTGTGTGTGTGTGTATGTGTCATAATGTGTGTGCGTGTGTGTGTGTGTGTGTGTGTGTGCGAGAGAGAGAGAGAGAGAGAGAGAACACGTAAGTCTCCAGCCTCATGGCTGGCCTCATGGTACGTCCATCAATAGGATGAGCAAAATCAAGTGAATCTACCGCTAGAACATGGGAATATACACTGCCATAGTCGTTTTTTGTTGCGTCGTGCGCGCGCGCGCACGCGTGTGCATGTGTGTGTGTGTGTGTGTGTGTGTGTGTGTGTGTGTGTGT